TATTTAGAACGTACAATACAAATTTTGTTCTTGGCCAGTGAACTAAAACTTCTAAGGTAAAAACAATATAACCTAAGATCAAAGAACCTTTTTAAGTTTAGGATTTATTATACTGTATCTACCAGTAAACAATAGACGCATTTGCAGTAAGATAAGAGTGTTTGGACTGAAAAACCTATGTTTGCATCAGATTTATTATGGTCCAAAACAATGCTGCAGGACAATATGTCAACCAATCTGCCACTAAACACAAAACTTAATTGCAACATAGCTTTGCCATGTCATTTTACTGCTAATAAAACTGCGCTGCTTTTCGTATGTTAAAGGAGAACTATGGGGTCAGTGCTTTTCCCCATAGTTTTCCTAAGGGTAACGGGAGGACACAAACTAGCGTCCTCCCGTCACCCAAAGCTCAGTATACTACGAGCTACAGCTCACGGTATACTGAAACGCCACAGCCGGGACGGATCCCGACATCACTGTCGAGATCCACCAAGCTGTGTCATTGACAGCTGGCTCTGCCTATCTAGAGGCAGAGCCAGCTGTCAATGACACAGCTTGGTGGATCTCGACAGTGATGTCGGGATCCGTCCCGGCTGTGGCGTTTCAGTATACCGTGAGCTGTAGCTCGTAGTATACTGAGCTTTGGGGGACGGGAGGACGCTAGTTTGTGTCCTCCCGTTACCCTTAGGAAAACTATGGGGAAAAGCACTGACCCCATAGTTCTCCTTTAATAACTATACACTCTAGGGATGTGATTCCTGAGGCTGTTTAAACCTGTGCTTATTTTCAGTTTTGCCATAGTAGATTTCTCCATTATGGTGTTCTCAGCGGCTTCCTAAAATGTGGCATATTCCAGAATCTGTTAAGGGATTCAGAGGGCTAAGTCAGGGATGCATTATAGTTGGCTTTGATGTTTGTTAACCAATCACTGATGAGCTTTTTCTTGGTGGGTTGGGCATGGCTTTAACAAAACATCCTGAGCAATCTTCTCAGGGGGTCTTTGGTACAGGTTGTTACCTGGGTCTGAGGTGCTGGACTGGAGCCCAGGCCTGGAAAACCTTGGGCCTACCATATGCAGATAGACCTGCAGATAGCTGTCTATGGCAGTGCCTCTCCGGTTCTCTATCTCCTCCTTCCCGACGCAGGCATAGCTATGGACAGCCCCGGGGGTGGAACTACCGCCCCAGGACTAGAACCTGGGGGTTTCTGGGCCGGTAGATGAATGAAGGTCGGGGGGGCCAGCAGTGCAGATAGTCGGCGAGACTGGACGTGGGGGAGGCCGGGTGAGGCCGGTGAGGTCGAGTGCCCGCAGAGCCACTGCACATGTCTACGTCGCCCGGGTGATTATTCGCAGAACACATGTTCCCAAACCAGAATACTATTCTGCCTTAGGGACATGTGTTCTGCTGTGGGATCATGTACCCTGCATTGTGGACATGTATTCTCAGAGTACATGTCCCCAAAGCAGAATACTATTCTGCCTTAGGTACATGTGTTCAGCTTTGGGGACATGTTTTCTCCCGTGGGGACATGTGTTCAGTTCTGGTGACATCTGTATTTAGCCCTGGTAAGAAACTGCCCTAAAATCATCAGTCTGTGTTGTTTTAGAAAAAGTTGGTAACTGGTATCGGCAAGCACCTGAGGGCAAGTACTTGTCTTAAAAAAGTGGTATCGGGACATCCCTTGCTGTGACTTTTCTATTCATGTATTATGTAGCATGCATGCTGTTAACTTAAATAAGTGTCTGATTCTAGATCTTCTAGTACTTACTGATATGACTAGATGAGCCACTAAAAGCTGGTATATTAAACTCTACAATCACTGGATGCCGTGGTCCAGCCATAAACCTCCAGGCTGCTAGGCCCCACAGCCTCTTCTTGGCTTTGCTCCTGCAGTCTAAGGCTCCACAGACTTGCATTAGACACGAGGATGCCAAGGGACATTCCACCAGCCAGAGCGAAGGGGGCGAAGAGGACAGCACTGACCGCTGGGGGGAGTGGGTCAGGTAAGTAAAAGTGCTTTACTCCAACCCCCTAGACAAAAATGAGCACTTCACTTCTGCAGTGTGGAGGTAGCTGTTGGGATATCACCCAAACAGGGTGTGCATTATTTTCAAAGAAAAGGTTGACAGATGTAAGAAGGTACAGTAGAACACAGCCATGGTATGACATTGCGAAGCAGGAAGTGTAGCCTGAATATGGCTGCACCTATGTACGATATAAATACAATCCCTACACAGCAAAACTTTTTTTATTTTTAAATATTGACATATTAATATCATTTCCTAAGTTATCTTTTTTTCCCATTAAAACTGCAGTTTGCATTAAGACACATTGTGTGCTGTGACTGGCATTTTTCTGCACTGGATCAATGACACCACCACAAGGACACAAAGAAAACAAATGTTTCTACGTTCCCTGTTTATACTGCTGCAATGCTGCCTTCAGCATGTTGTGGAACAATGCCGGCATGCTGCATCTCACCTGATGTCAGTGTCAGTCACAAAACAGTGCCATGTGTTGTTGTAACGCAAGGAATCATTCCCCACCCCCACTATAGAATGTAAACCAGCCTGCAGCCTACAACAGAACATATTTTATAGTGCAGGCATGTGTGGACATGCCAAAAAACTACCTACCATTAACCTCCCTGGCGGTATGATTATTCAGGATTTTAGCATCCCAAAGCGGTACATTGTTTTTCATGGCAATTTATTGTTTTATATTGTAGGCCTGTAATTCTTAGTAAATCTTAGGAATAACTCACCTAAATCTGTCCAAACAAGAGTCCAGTAGACATCCCAGGTATGATAAAGTAACGCCCCCTGCTGTGACGCCCGAAAACAAAACTAAAACTCAGATGCCGGCATCGTCCGGCCACGTACAGCAGAGGACACCGCGGGCTTGCAGGGACAAGGTAAGTGACACTCTTGGTACTGAAATTTAACCCCAAGCCAGACTCGGGAAATGTTCCCCGAACTTCCGAGTTGCGGGGGGGAGGATACTAATGGCAGAGGAGTCATAGGCTCCTTCTGTCATTAATCAAAGATGGAAGGGGCTTGGCCTGCCACAGGGCTGTGTGTGTCTATGGACGCACACAACCACTGCGGAAACAAGTGGGCACGAGCACGCACGTGTGCCTCCATTAGAACGATGGTGGCACCCAAGCAGGGGCGGGGGAAGAGTGCTGCGGGGACCCACTAAAAAACGAGGAATTAAAAACTTTTAAAGTAAAAAAGCAACAACCTCCAGCAAAGGAGGGTCTCCTTAAAGGAGAATTAAAAAAAAAATTAGGCTTTAATATCACTTTAAGTTTCTTATTTACTTCCTGTTACTGGGTGACAATTGCTCCTGTGTTGTCAGTCTGTCACATACGCCACAGCTGGAGACTATTAAGTGACCATGCTGATACACATTGTACTGGCATGGTCCGCTGTTGTCACCATCAAGAAGTTGGTCCAGAGTAGTGACGGGTAGCCAACAATGGAGCAAGTGCATGTAGACAGGAAGTGGCTGAAAGAGGGTGAAGGTGATCAGCAACATTGAGATTAAATTAAAAAAAGGTAACAAATGTATTTTATGAAAAAAAATGTTTACTGTTTATAACACACATTGCTTTAGAAATATAAATGTCATCCAGTTATGGTTTAGATTTAATTTAACCCCTTTCAAAGCTTACGGTTTAGCTTATATACGGGTTATACATTTGTTTAGCTTTTTTTTCTATTTTTATATAACTAAATTGAAATTTTAGTCCATTTTACACATGTAGTATACACAACTTAATTTTTTGCATCCTTCCTTGAAAAACAACTGTAATTCCTACTCTTAGGCCCCGTTCACATTGAGCGATTTATCGCGCGGTAATTCCCGCGATATCGCGGCTATTTACCACGCGATATCGCGCTCCAATGCTTGGCAATGGGGCAAAGGGTCCTGCTGTCGTGTGTCGCTACAGCAGGACCCTTTTTGGAGCGGATTTTGCCGCGATTCAAGCTTGCTCAATGCAAGCATTTGCGCGATATCGCGCAAAATGCAAAACGCGAGACAAACGCGCGATTTGCGAACCGCTCAATGTGAACAGGGCCTTAATCTGAAATTGCAGAAGGTTCCTTTGTCTCTTTAGATTGCCCCTTACAAGCCCATAAACGTGCACGGTACTGATAGGGGTCATTGAAATACTGTACACGATGAGCCATCTGTTCTTACACTCTCTCCCCCTTAAGCCATTACAGTGTTCGAACGGCAGCAGCCAGAGGCTGCATTTGGAGGAGGGGAAGGCTCATATACATCCCCAGTTCTAAGGCCGCAATGTAACATTCACCATGGCAGCAAGGGTTATACTTTATATAATAATAATCAGTAATATCATGTACCTCTCTGTATTTAAAATGCCATGTTTGCAGCCTGGAAACAGCTTTAAGATTGCCTTGCAATTTTTTATTTTTCTCGTACAATTCTTTGTACCCTGCACAGCCACGTAAAGATTCAAATCAAAGAATGTGATTGATGCAAATAAGAGAAAGGTGAAACGAGATTAGAAATCACAGCTCTCTATAAATGTACCTCAAATGAAATGTATTCAGCCCACATGCATTGAAAGACAAGATGAACGTTGAAACAACAGAACAAGCTGGTTTTTCTATCCAATATAGACAGCAGTACAATATATGATTCACACTGCTGCTGCTAAAAATAGACTCTACGAAGAAAGCAAATGGCACGCATATAGATTAGGTCGAATCAGCACAATAAAATATTATCCTAACAAAACACACGCAATATAAATCACAGCATCACTGTAAAACATAAGGCATCCAATTCTGCTAGGTATTAGCGTACAGCTGCCTGGATGCTTCAGCTAAAGCCATGGTGCTTTACATCCTGCTAGCTTACAGCTGGCTCTCGACTCTCCCTGCTTTTTTTTTTTTTCTTTGTGAAAAATAAAGGCTTGTTTAAGGTTTACAATTGCTGGCGTGTGTTTGTAAACACATTTACCTTGCAAATGCTTTAGATAGCTCCCTTCCTGCAGAGTCTTTGTAAAGATGTTTACTGTAGCCTCAGCATCCCTCTTTGTTTTGCATGGAATGCAGCGTTCCACCATGTTCTGGTCACATGGTCTGTGGTACATCTAAATAGAGATGATCACCTGCTCCCGAGCAGTCAACTGAATGTTGTGTGAAACAGATGCAGTGAGAATCATTTAAGGAGGACCAATACAGATAAAAATTACAGTGTCACAGAGACTGACGCTGGTTTCATGGACGTTTGCCAATTTGATGCAATGTATTTGGTTAAAAAACGAATTGTCATGACCATTTGTTCAAATCACTATGCTCAAAAAATACAATCAGTTAAAAAAAAAAAAGTGGATTATTGTATTTTTTTTTTAGCTAAAAAAGGTTATAAAAAATAAATACATTTGAGTTAAATAAATGTTTTAGCTATTTTAGACTATATTCGTCGTAACCCAGAGTTAGATTTAAAAAAAAAAAAAATCAATACATTTTCTTTTAACAAATCCAGTGAGAATGACTTTCATGAATATTGAAATATTTAATGAATAGATTATACATATTTAAACAATACATATACGTATATTTATTTTGCCTGCATAAAATACACCAGCTAATGATTTAACTTATTTTTTTTAAACAAACCTTACAGTAGATCTAAATGATAACTGAGTGACATTTAGCTAACGGATTGTGCATCTTAACAATTGACTTTTCAATAATAATCATCTTTTTTTTATCCCGTGCTGCAAATTCCTGTCTTCATGCATACATTCCAGCAATGACCGCACGTCACTTCTCAGGGTAGATTTTCTGATTTTCCAGATTATAAAAAGAGAAACATGCCTGCATTATGTGTGTGTGTGGAAAAGGCCATTTGCAGTTTCCATTGAAAATAGGAAAGCTGCCATTGCTGACCTATTTTCTGGAAATGCTATATGCCTGGATGTCATTCTGGTCAAGTGGCTTCAATACAGGGGCAGACTAACAATATATGGGGCCCCCGGGCAATATGAGATTATGGGGCCCCCTTGTGTTCCGCCCATATACAAACACCTCCCACCCAAAAACCACACCCATTCACAAGCCCACCCACCTATGCATTCTTGTGTTGTGGAAATCATTTGTCCACATTATTTTCAAAATAGCAGGTCTATTCATTTAAAGGTGAATTGCAGGGGAATTGGTAGGAGAATTCCAAAATCTGAACCAATATAGGCGATTTGGAGAGTGAGCTGAGCTAAATGGCTTAATTTTTCTGGTTTGGCTATTTTGACCTAGATTCTTCAATTCTGCCAGTTATGCTGGGTGAATTGCCAGAGAATTAGTAGGATAATTGACGGAAAAACCTAGGTCAAAACAGAGTTCAGTAGTAAATAACGCAAAACTGAGTAGTCAATTTAGTTTAGTAGTACATAATGCAGAGCTTAGCAGTAGAGAACATACAGAGAGCAGCGGTCAGGAGCAGGCCCGGCGATACCGCAAGGCAAGTCAGGTGGCCGCCTGAGGGCGCTGCAGGGTGAGGGCGGAAAAAACAGGGCATTTTGACAAGTCCTCCGGCGACTGCCAGAGGATGCCGACACGCGCGGCACCT